TAGGGTCCTTCTGAAGCGGAACATTCACGGCTTATAGCCACCTCAGCTGCACTGTGATAGTTTTGCTGTCTGGGTTCTTGGGCTAGAATGTAAGCCCCCGCACGAGCCCGCAGCGGTCTGTGTAGCAATCGCATGTCCATCCAGTCCCGGTGAGCCAGGTCCTTTTTGAGCTAATCCTTGCTGCGAACTACCTGGACATCAAAAGCCTCCTGGACCTCACATGTGCCAAGGCAGAGAGCAGCGGGCTTGCTTCATCGGAATTTACTACAAATAACGGTCCCTTAAATGGTTTGGGACCATGGTTGGTTTTGGAGAAATGCTGCAAGAAGCGCGCCTCCCCACATGAATCTGGGTGCTTCTTGCGTGGAGTCGAATTTCCACCTACATCTAAAGCGAACGATCATGAGCTAGGCCGCACACCTGAAAAATTCAGCAGGATCCCTGAATCCTAGATTCTAATCCACGGGCTTACATGATTACCGATACTATTCTTTGGGGGTTCCTGAAAATAAGCAAAGGATAAATAGCCCCAAAACCCTATTCTACTTATTAAGGCCCCTACATTACTCCGGCAGCCTTGATAATGCACCATAAACCCTAAAACCTAAACCCTAAACCCTAATCCCTGACTCAAAGGGGCTAACAGGGCCCGGTTGTAGCGCTCCGAAAGGTCGCCTCCATGATCAAAGGAAAGAACACGGAGGAGATCCGAAAGCAGCCGCGCACTGAGTTACCTGAGGTTTTAAGGCCGTTTCTGGAATTTAGGGTTTAGGGTTTCAGTGAATCTTCGGTTTTTAGGGAATTGAGGGTTTTAGGGAACTTAGGGTTTTAGGGAACATAGGCTTTTAGGGAATCTGGGGCTTCAAGGAACCTGGAGTTCGAGAGGTGAGGGTTCTTACTGCCGGGTTTAGGGTTTAGGTTCACCTTTTGCTTCAGGGTTTAGGGTTTGGGGTTTAGGGTTTAGGGTTTTGGGTTTAGGGTTTAGGGTTTGGTTTTGGTAGGCTTGGTTACAGGGAAGGCCTTTGGATGAAGGATGAGAAGGGCTGGTACATATCTAGTTGTACATGTCCAGAGATACTTGTCCTGGGTTCTCCTCCTCTCCCGACACGAGACCCTAAACCCCCCAAGCCGACGGCTGGCTTCAAAAGCCCTGAAGAGATCGAAAGGTTTAACATCGTCAACGACTTCACACCTGAGGAGGAGGCACAAGTTCGCGAGGCACCGGCAATGGTTTGAATGTAGCTTATGGATGAAGTATGAGTAGTTCTCTAAAGTAGGGTCTCTTTTTAGGTCCCCAAAATAGTGCGGCACCCTTAGAAAAAGGACCCTAAAAGGGACCCTAGTTTAGAGAACTACCCATATAGTGGGTGCTAGGGTTCTAAAGCTTCGGATCTTGAGGTTGTTAGGTAGGGTCGTGGTTCCGATGTCGGTTGCGGATGTCTTGATGGAGCTGTACTGGCACGTTTGTGTTTCGCTTTTGTTGGTGGACCTCTGGCTATAAAATGTTTTTAATCTTGCCTAGTATGCATGAGTACTGCTTATGAATGCTTCATCGAATTTTGGGGTGCAGGGCTTTCGGCAACCTCGTGTTTCGTGCCAGAAGAACAACGTGGCTGATGTGCCCCCAATTTTGAAGGCAGGCCTTCGCTGCAGACCGTGCAGCACCCCCACTAAACAGGCCCCATAGTAGTTCCTGTTTGGGATTACCTAATAGGATCCTAAATATAAACCACAAAAAGGAACTAATATGGGGCCTATGAGCAGCCAAGCCTATCCCATCCCCGAAGAGCTCCAGTCTCTGCAGGAGAATCGGTGGTGTGAAGATGCCTGAGTCGTAGAGGGCCCTGGCTGCTCTTCTCGCAGCCTGCGCTCACTGGGGGATAGGAAAGAGCAGGCCCTGCGGCACAAGAAGTTACATGTTGTCAAACATTCCAGAAACCCAATGCGTGTTAAGAGACCTCGATCTTCAATTCTGACAGATATCGAGGGGTCACTTGTACTCGTCATTGGATGATAGTGTTAGTTGCGGTTTCTGGTAGTTAGTATGCTTCTGACGATCATGTTGATATGCGATTAGCTTTCAGCTCTATTCGCGTCAGTGTTTTCGTTACGTACTATTGTGCAAGCTTTCGGGTCCAATGGCCTGGGACTGTCTAACACAGGTGTCTGAAGAATCAGTCATACTCCTCCTGAGGTTTCCCTCCCAAAATCCTATTCCAACGATTAAGGCCCTTTGGTTAAGTAGGCAAGATGCCTGCCTCGACCAATCGGTTTTCGCATTTCGAGCTTTGCTGTTCTGTTCATGAGACAGCGACCTCGTCCTAAATTTAGATTAGGGATCACAGAGGGTTCCTCCCCGAGCCTGAAATTTCCAGAGGTCCGTAGGTCTACAAGGGCATGCGCCGATGGAAACGGCATCGCAAATATCAGATAATATAGAATTAGAAGCCTAACTAGTTACCAATATTATGGTCATTATCAATATACCATGGAGGGGCCCAAAACCCTGTTCTAATCATAAAGGCCCCTACATCATCTCAAAGGCCGACCTAGCTTCCCAGATCTTCCAAAGACCCTGAATTATAGAGTTTAGGGTTTAGGGTTTAGGGTTTATAAGTTAAAGAACATACCCTAAATCGTTCTAGGGCTCCGACTAGACCCTAAACCCTAAACCCTAAACCTCTAAACCCCTAACCCCTAACCCTAAACCCTAAACCCTAAACCCTAAACCTTAAAACTTCACCGGGACCCAAGGGCCTGCGCTCTTCCCGAACGACTCGAAGCTGTTTCACAAACCGACTGCCCCATCCGTGCGAATGGTTCGGTCTCTCCAACTATGGCATGGCCACGGCGCCACTTCCGCAACGAACCCCTTCTAATTCTATAGTTGGTGTCTCCTTACTTTCAATGTGGTGCATGTTGGATTTGTAAACTCTTGTTGGGTACGATTCATGTAGCCATCATTCCAGCAGATTGCATGATCCGTATAGTCATGACGGCCAAGTTGTCTGGCCTCTAAGCTGTCACGCGGATTGGCAGGCCCAGTCTCTCCTTGATCTACGATGAGACGAGTACGAAGTTATCTACACATAAAAGACTACCGACACGCGTAGCGCTACGAGCAACAAGAGTCGTGTAGACAATATTGGCCGGCCCATTGCATCCTCAACGGTCTTCCGTGTTGCCTATAAGTCAAACATGCTCCTAGGGGCAGCCTCAAACCTCAAGCAAGATGAACGATTAGGAGGACTCCAAATCCACATCAGATGAAGTGGATGTTGCGGATAAATTGGATGGGGATCCTACACCCTGGACGGGCTACGCAAGATAGTCCCACGGCGTCGAGAGCAGAAAGTTCAGAAACGAGGCAGCCCCAGGGGTCCTAAGTAACTACGCAGTACTACGCGGGTTTCTTTTGTGGTTCTTTTGTAGGAATTTTCCATTATGGTTTGGGCAGTCCTCCATAAAGGAACCCTTAAACCTTAAAGGTGCCAGTAACGGTGCCCTTGTAGCTACTGAGGAGCCTTTGAAGATGTTTGGGCATGTGTTTTGAGCCTGGGTCGGGTCTCGGGGGGTTTGGGGCTTCTAGACTCATGGGGTTTAGGGTTTAGGGTGTTTATAAGCTGGGGTAAGCTAGAGTTTCTAGTGTTTCTGAGGTTTCGCAACAGCTTATGGCACTTGGGCTGATGGGGTTTGTAGGATTCGTACGCCTCGTACGCCTTGTTTTTGTTTAGGGCTTGTAGGGTGCATAGGGCTTGTGGGGTTTATAGGGTTTAGGGTTTACAGGGCTTCGAGGGTGAAGGTGCATGTGCAGGGATGGTAGGGGCATGCTTGGAAACTTTCGAAAATGGCGCAGGACGGCAAGAAGCCTGCACTTCCATGCATGATGCGCGGATAGTAGGTCCTGAGTCATGACCCCTAAATGGTAGCGTATTAACCCTTGGAGCGGTCAGTTTTGGATCCCAGGTACCTAGAGGTACCTGGGGATGACCTCATAGGATCCTAAATATAAGCACAAACAGGAACTGCTATGGGGCCTATGGGTCTCCTGGACTTGTCTTAGCAAAGTCCACGCGCTGGCTGCACAAGATCGAAGGCAATGCCGAACTCTTCCGACTCCCGACTCCGGGTCAATGTTCAACGTGCAGTAAGCTGATAAGTAGGGCCTAATGTTCGTAGTGTTGTTAAACCCTAAACCCAAAACCCTAAATCTTAAACCCTAAACCGTGTTATTGTTATTGCTATGATTAACTTCGAGGGGGAGGGGTGTGCAGTTGAGGTTTCGGGCTGTCCCACGCCATCCACATCTCAAGCTTTCAGTTGCATAGAGCTGAGAAGCAAGATGAGCAGCACAACGCACTCTTGAAGCTTGCACCATTGGGATGGTGCAGAAAAGATAGTTGAGGCCACCAGCAGTAAGACCAGAAACAGGTACCGCTACCAACAAAGATGACTATATAGCAGTTCGGGCCTTTCTTTGCGCAAGCCGAACTCGATTCTAGAGGTAGTCCAAAAGCTAAGCCAGCCCGGCCGCAAGCAGAGCGTATCGGCAACCTCAGGAGCTATCCAGAAAGTTCAGCCACTTATCGATTCCTGCACATGGCCCTGAGCAGGATCATAACATAGCAGGCGGCTTTCTGTGGGAGGGGTTTTGGGGTTCAAGCTTTAGGTTGGAGGTTTGGGTCGTGCCAGACCTCCGACTTGGGAGTGTCACAACAAGGGACACATAACATGTGAAATGACACCGTTGAATATCATTCAGTACCATCGAAAAGGAGATCCCTGCTTTCCAGAACCCCTCCCGGGGCATTTGACGTCAGTTTTCGTGCGAATTTCGTTCGGATCTGGTTTGATCGCATATTCTACCCCAGGGCAACGACTCCTCGAAAGGGTGTGCTGGAAACTTCCCATCCCTTACTCAGAGGGATGCAACATAGAGCGAAGGCTTTTCGTTTCGACACGGGCCCTGTTCCTGTTGCACGACCATGCTCAGGGGCAGCATGACTTCAGCGATGCAGCTGCCAGCACCCCAGAAACAGCTAAGCTTCTGATTTGCTTCGAGACAGAGGCTATCGGATTCAAGGAGACCTCTCATAGGGTTTACGGTCGACGGCTTTAAGGCTTCGACCTCAACATCTTGGAACCAACGCGTGCCAGCAAGGCAGCCAGACGAAACGATGCAGTCCGTGCGCCCTCGTTCTGAGGACCATCACCATCCCGGATAATGCTGCACCGGGATCGGTGCTGTCGATCCCGGTGAAAGGTCGAGCAGAGAACGTGAAGGCGGCACCGGTAGTTTGCCGTAGCACGGAGAGGGAAAGGCTCGCGAAAAGAAGTTTGCACCTGGGCCCTTGAATTGCCATTGCCGTAGGCCCTACGGCGCCAACCTCATCCTGTAGTGATGTAGGGCATGAAAGCAGGATTGCAGCTCTGATATGCTGAGCATCGAACATGAGTGTAGCATGATGTCCCATTCGACTTTGCTGTACTCTCTCTCTCTCTATATATATATATATACGGTCAAAAAATCATGGGATCTGCAACTGTGAGATTAGGCTAGTTTACCTATTCCTTGTTTTCCGGGGGGACGAGGCTCCGAAGCGATGTAACGCCGTGATAAGGCGAACTGTTACATATACGTTTTAGGGTGTGGGGATATATATATATATAGACACACACACACACACGTTTTAGGGTGTAGGGCCTAGTTTAGGGTTTAGGGCTGTCAGGGTTGCAATAGGGGTTGAGGTCCTTACCCCGATCTCCACGAAAGCCGGAAGCTCGAGAAGCCCGAGAAGCTCTTGTAAAGAGAACTGCGAAGTCCAAGCCAAGCCTGTGCAAGCTGCTGGCCTTCTCTTACCCCATCAGGAGTGAAAAAATCGTCAGCGTACTATGCTCGTGTGCACTATACCCATAGGCCCCATAGTAGTTCCGTTTTTGGATTACATAATAGGATCCTAACTCTATGCCACAAAAAGGGAACTACTATGGGGCCTATGGGTAAAGCACCCTAAACTTGAAACCCCGATCTGAGAGGCTCGGGTGCCAGAGGGCATGGGGCCCGGCGACACCCTGGTAGCGAGCTCGGAGAACCCAATGTAGGGCTTATAGGATTTGGGGTTTAGGCGGGGGATTCGGAGCCTGGGGCTGGCTGTAGGATAGTTTGGGAATTTGTGGCTCGCTTTTTTGGGGTTCAGAGCTATCTGGCATCAAGGTGAGGGTTGAGTGTTTTCGTTGCTTCAGGGCTACTCAGTGAATGTGCTACGAGGCGCTTCTGCATCGGATACTGCCCACGAGTATCATACAGTCTCTATGCACCCAGTACATCCCACAAGTACAAGTAGTAATTCTAAACCCAAACCCTAAACATTCACTTCTAGAAACCTGAGACAACCTCGGAACGGTATGCCTTAATGCTGAACACCAAAATGACCCAAGCATTTGCGAAAGCAACACCCTCAACCCAGAAAGCAAATCTTAATACAAAACATAAGTCCTAAGTCCTTTCAAGAACCCTAAATGCTAAACCCTGAATCCTGAGCCTCAGCTGAGGTTCTGACACAAATAGCCGGCACAGATGAGTGGGCCCGGGGCTCGGCTACATTGCAGCAGCCCGGAAGCTGAAGGAGTTTCAGGGCTTCGGCTTTAAGAGATGTCATCGAAGCCCCTAAAACCCTTTAATCCCTGACTTAGGAGTTCAGGGTTTAGGGCCTAGGGCTTCCGGCTTCTGCCACGAGTACCGAACAATCGTGAGATTGTTCCTTAGGGCCCTTGCTGAATTACAGCACAGCATACCCCGAAGCTCCAGTCTGACTAACAAGGCCCTCATGTTACCTTAGCCCTAGAACCCCAACCCTAAGGATGGGAGCCTAGGTAATTACCCAATACTATGGTGGGGGGGGGGGGGTTCCTAATCACAGTCAGAGTATGATATGCCCCGAAACCCTGGTCTAATCATGAAGGCCCTGTTCGTAATATAGGGGCCCTTAATAATTAGGATGGGGTTTGGGTGTATCTTATACTATTGACTATAATAAAGGAGCCCCCAAACCCTATTCTAATTATTAAGGCCCCTACACTCTAAACCCTTATACTAGCCCTTATAGAACCCTTTAAGGAACCTTTTAAAGGAACCCCCCAAAACCCTATTCTAATTGTTAAGGCCCCTAGATTATTACCCTGAAGTCTTGAAGTCGGGTCTTTGGAGACCCAGAAGTCCTAGTCCTTTCGACCTGGCACTTACGGTTTAGGGTTTAGGGTTTAGGGTTTAGGGTTTACGGTTTAGGGTTTAGGGTTTAGGGTTTAGGGTTTAGGGGTTTAGGGGTTTGGAGTGGCTGATGAGGGCTTGGAACTTAGAGCCTTTGTTGCTTCAGGTTACATGGGCCGTACATAGAGTTGTATGAGGTCCTTATTAGAATTGTTCTCGAAACCTCGGGTTTCGGCAGAACCCAGGCCCCAAAACCTACCTCGTGCACATCTATGCACATGTCCTTTCCTGCGTCTGCTATTTGAAGGGTCGTGCTTTTGTTATGTCCCTTTCGTACTCTTCGGTTGGGGTCTTGTTTCTGTCAGAATGCTAGGGGCTTGGTATGCAACCTTTAACCTTTTGAGGTAATTACACAGTTATGTTTCACCATTTTTGTGCGAAGGACCTCAGCCATTAGGAACATAATGCTTCACGGCAAGAGTGCAGGTTGAAGAGTCTGTGCTGAAGCAGGAGGAGCAGGCGGAAGCAGGGGTACGGGGCCGGTGAAGCTGGTTTAGGGTTTAGGATTTTTTGTTGCTGAAAGGTTCTCGATTTTGTTGGGCTTGTAGGGTTTAGGGTTTAGGGCCTAGGATGTGCAGGGTTTAGTTTTTTCGGGTTTCGGGCGTGGTGGGATTTTGGGATTTACAGGGCTTAAAGCTTAGGGTAAATTGGGTTTAGGGTTTGTAAACATACCAAAAGATTTCCTGTTGTGCGGTCCTTGGCAGTATTCTGGATGCCGCTCTTGTTTATTCTAGCTGCTACTGCACAACTCGCATCACTGACTCATGCGTAGCAGCCGCAGACTGGCTGAGGTTCCGAAAAGAGCGGTTGAACCCTAAACCCTAAAACCTGAACCCTAAACCCCAAACCCTAAGCCCTAAACCCTCAACCCTAAAGCGTGTTGGACCGTTCCCAGAGCCTAGGAGACTCAGCTGCCAAATGCTTAACCTTGAACCGCCAAGCTTCGGCCTTAAACCACCAATAAATCGTAGCTCTCAAAACCACAGCCATGCTTTGTGTTGGGGCCCCGTCCTAGAGTCAGAAGTTTTAGTGCCTACACGATCATCAACATCAGAGACACGACTGTCCCAGTGCTTGCCTGCAGGCTGCTGCCAACGCAGTGTTCGGTGATGAGGCACAGGATGTGATGCCACAGCATCCCTTTTATCCCGACTCGTGCTCAAGACCTCCTCCCGTGGTTGAAAAATTAGTGCTGAGGTTTCAGCAGACTTGAAAGCAAGACCAGCTGAAAGTGGTAAGATGGACACCTGATTGTTGCAAGGCCCAGCCCGCACCATCGTCTTTGGTGCTGGCCTCACGGAGGATGTGTAAAGAAGCCAGGTATGACTTCAATGGAGTACGTCGTAGGCATGAAGAATTGTCATGCTTGGGCGCAACAATCGTGCAAGGCGCGCCGACAGATAATCACAGAGAAACGAGGGAGGCAGATCTCTCTCTCTCACTCTCTCTGTCTATCTCTCTTTGTGTGTGTGTGTCAACATATTTTTTGTGTTATATGTATTTACGTATGTATGTATGTCTCTACATATATATATATATATATATGCACTTACATGAAAATCTGTGCGTGTAACTTCAGGCATAGGTATGTATACACTTATACACACTCACGGGCTCTCCTGCCAACCCTAATTAACTGAAAGTATAGGTTTCTTCTATCTTAGCCGTGCAGAATTGTTGCACATACATTTCAACCAGATTGCCACAGGGTACTTCGGTGAGATGCTCAGCTGGCGATTACCAGATTTCGCAGGCGTTTCTGAACCTGGGACCCAAGCCATGCTACCACCATCCACTTTTGAGGTTCCTCCTGGCATTGTCCTTCCAGAGGACAAGCGGGAAGTAAGCGGCGCTTAGTGGGTGTAGGGCTTACGAGTTTAGGGTATAGTTGCTCTTCTTTTTAATGTGGGTTGGGATCTTTGGATCTAGTTGCGCTGTTGCGATCGTCAGTTGAAGTTTGTTGACAGGGTCCGAGCTGCTGGTGGCTCCTGGCATGCACAGATCCAGGGACTGTCACTCTCATGCCTAGCCATTGGCTGCTACACACATTTCCCTCAACTTATGCATGTATCCTCGCTGCTTCTGTCCATGTTCGCAAGATTCGACCACCAGTTCTTCGCAAAGTGACATACTCTGATATTGCAGCACCCCATATCGCTTAGCAACGCCGCATCACTCTCAGTGCGCAGGAGGCCGATCTCGAACCCCTTGTGCCCAGTGGGCCCGTGGCGCATACCGTGGAAGTCTTAGCAAGCAGCTTCTTTCGCTCGTGCATAATTATATATACATATATACACATATGTGCACAATCGATTCCCCCAATATTACTCCCTAATCAAAAATATTCCGGTGGTTTGGAGTATATTAGGGGGGTTTCAGCGCATCCGGGTATGAGTCGGATTGACAGGAACAGTGAGCCAGACACAAGGACCGTCCATCACACAGGCGTTCCGTAAGCCCTTAGCCCTAAACCCTAAAGCCCTAAGCCCTAAACCTTGAACCCTAAAGCCCTACGCCCCAAACATTAAGCCCAAGCCCGAAGCTTCTAAACCGTAAGGCTCTTGTTCTTTGGGTTTGACTAGTACTGCTGTAATCTTGGCTCCATTAAAATAATATAATCCTAGGCCTCCCCCCTAATCCTAGCCCCCCCCCCCCAATGTTTTTAATTGACTTTTAATTGCGGGCCCGAAACCGCGAAATCCC